CGATACCGTCTGCCAACATCATCACCGCTGTGCAGCCAAGCTCATGATGTCTTACTTCGGAAGTGGAACACAGAAGTCAACTCAATCACAAGATTTCACAAGGAACTCAAGGTTGTATCTGACCTAGTATTTTTCCAAAGCGAAGCATCTGGAGGCGGTCAGTCCCTTTATCTCGTGATCTCGTCTCATCTAGGCACCCTATTAGTGTGTTTGCTCTATTATACATACGATTCTAAGCTCTACTATATAGAAGGGAACGACCATCTCGTCCAAAGATTGTAAGATGGCTTTCGAACAAGAACAGCAGGTGAAAATGTAATGATCTTGCATAGAACAAGTAGAAATTGTTCAATGAGGAAGTGTATTCGTCGAGAGCACGAGCTTTCTTCACCCGTCTACTACTCCGCTCACCTTCACAGAAGACTCGACTTGTTGAAACTTTGAAATGTTGCAGAAAGGATAGTAGGAATTGTGGAGAAGGACATTCATCCATATAGATTCGCGACAAATTGCTATTCCTTAGCCAACAACCCTTCGGGTCTCTGAAATATCATAACGGTTACCGATTTCGGCTAGGGTAAGGGACACACTGTTTGTACATCTGCAGGCGCAATTGCGCTCGAAAGACGAGTTACAATGGAATCGGTAAGTATCCCGCTATGCAAACTACACATCGATTCTTGTGCTCTCCTAGAGAGTTTCTAAAATAAATATTCAAGCCCGTCTAGGATCAGAGCTGAAACTTGAGTCAAAACCGATTCTCTTTAACCTAAGCCAATCCCGTCTTTTTGTTTACTCTATTCTAGCAAAGTAACTTTAATTTTCGTGCTGTACAATAACAACAATAAAACTAATCAACAATAACAACATGCAAAAAATCCATCTACAAGTTAGTTGCAGTAACAACTTCAGGAGACTATAAACAGATGTTACACAATTCAACCGTATCTCTTCAAGTCAAAGTAAGACACTGATAAATCAAGCACAGCGAGTAAGGAATATTAGAATTACATTACCTCAAGCGAAAATTTGAACAGATCATTTGAGTTCCGTATTAACAGCAACAACGCTAAAATGCGATCACCTACTGTAAATTTTGCTAGCAAGCTTTACCAACGAATAATAAAAGGCAGTAAAAATATACAAATAAAACCCCAATTCCACTTGGGCTGTACAAAGTTTCTCGATAGAACTAGAGGCCTAAGTAGCGACGGGTGGTTCATTAACTGAAAAAGTACACCGAGTCCTTGACCTGATTGATATCCAAGTCACCCGGTTTTACTTGACAAGTGAACAATTTCCTGAAGTAAGCCAAATCCTCCGGTGACATCAACTCAATGTGTGGTCCTTTGAGGTAGTGTGAGTGGAACCAATCCGAACATCTGTAAAAAAGGGAACATCACCACGGTCATTACTTGAATCCACTAAAAAACAAACGAAAAGGAAATACGCACTGCTGAACTATTGGCTCGCTATGTAATCTGATGAACTGCTCACGACATAGTTCACCCATTTCGTCTACCGTACTGGCATGAGTCCAGAAGCAATCGTGTACAGCCGCAAACGTCACACCTCTTTAAATGAAATTGAACCCATTTCGATCAATACATGGAACTGTGAAAGGTTACCTCCGCGAACAGTCAAGGGAAGTCAGCATCATATGGCAGGAATCCAATGAATGGACCAAATTGGGCGGAAATGCCCCTACCTAAATGAACGAATGACAAATGACATACTATTCCACTTTCAACAAAATTGGAACCGACTCCCGAAAAATGTAAAACCAGTCAAGCCACACCTGCTTAAGCGACACTGGAACATGTATGACCTTTCCTTTCTTCTCCTTTGCAATCACGTATGGCTGTACAACCGGCAGTCCCAGAGGTGTCACCCACTCCATTGTTTGTAGGAGATCTGACACGCCTTTTGCACAGTCTCGGAACCAATCCTTTAGCTTCCTACAAGCATTTATATTAGGCAGTTCAGGAGTTATTCACCTACTTCACTCACATTGAACAGGTAAACGCATCATGCAAACTGGCAAACGTTTTATGTGTCAAGTATTGAGCAAATTTACCAGTCTGGAAATAAGGTGTTTACAAGAAGAAAAACATTTTGAACAACAGCGAAGTCTAAACAGCCATCAAACAAATAAAACTACCTCTTCATTGTCAATATCAAGAGCCTTCAATTGTCGCTTTATTTGCAATGCAGCCCCATACAATGTGACACCGTAGACAGTTGTCATAACCGTTTGCTTAATCACCTGAATTGTTCAGTATAACCATAACGAAACACTTTGAAAACCGATCCCTACATACTTTTCGTGGAACAGGTTGTGGCATAGCTTCTCTCAACCGTAAAGCGATTTCCATGTTAGGACCACCTTTTTCATCTTCGATCCTCTTCTGCTCGACTCTGAACATTCCGTATAAGGAGTTACATCCACAAAAAATGCTGGTTGTCGAATTGAAACTTTACATAAATCCTACCTCATTGCTACCGATGAGTAAACGTCATTGGGTGTTTCGCTTTTGAGCAGATTCACTTCTAATCCTCCTTGTTCATCACGCCCTAATGCCGCATAGTGTTGTAGACCATTACAGCTGCCGTCTTGATGCACCGCTAGATGGCTAAAGAACAAAATAATAAACACATAAACAATTGTTGGTTGCTGAGGTGCAAACAGACCTCACAAAGTCTTCGATCTTTCCTGGAAAAGCAAGAGCATCGCGTATCTCCATACAAGCTGCTAAGGTTTGCCAAGGCTCCTCGGATTCCAGCCACCATCCTTTGCCTATAAAAGTCGGTTAAACAGTAGGTACAAATTCTTACTCCCACAATCTTCTTCGACGGCACATCAGCGAGCTGTATGATATGTTACAAGCACGAACCATCGAGCGGATGATTTGCTGAATCTACCATATCGTCCAGTTGTTGATCGGCAGCAATGAGTCGATCCTTGATGCTGTCCCTTTTCATTTTACCCGTGAGATTTATACAGTGCAGTTTCAACCAGAGGAATCCACGACTTCCCAACGGGCGACCTGAAATAGCCAGCTTCATCGTGCCTGGTGAAATCGCTTTTTTGTTGTCACTCGAGGCAAACAAGACCGTACCTTTGGCAAATTTTAGAATGCATCGATTCACATCATCACCCATATGACTAAGGTACGGTGATATAGGATAAACCCTTCCACGAAAATCCATATTGTGAGGGAAAAACAGAGTTTGTCCTCGAAAATGTCTTGCCAACACTATGCGATACTTCATCCAACACCATAGTGAATTCAGCTCATTCCTGAAAGACGTTCAAACGTATTCATAGACCGCACAAGCAGCTACAAAATAATACAGCCGAATAAACCTCGGTCAGTACCACACCTCAACTTAATAGCCTCCGCCTTTCTCTTGCTATATTCTGCATACTTNTATCTCTTCGATTGGTACAACTTTGACAAATAACCTCACTAAAAAGGGTACACAGCGTAGCGCTTCCGTTGAAATATCACAGATGAAGCCATATTGTTCTTACAAGGGTTCTGCGGTCGGTCATCGAGTAGTTTTTCGATCGTCGAGCGAATTTTGCTCAACCAATCCCAAGACTCTATCAAACGCTCAGCGGACATTCCAGACTCCTAGATGAGAGAAATTGGCTAAGAAGTGTCTGTCAAGCTCGAAAACATTACCTTTTTCGCAGTTCCTGTGTAATTTTCGACATATAACCACGGTGCCCTCTCTGTGGCTATCTGGGTGGGGAACTTACGGATATAAGTCTCCTTAAATAACACTTTATTACAATAAAGCCAACCATTTTCAAGTGCAGCGAATACACGGATTTCGAAAGAATGTACCTTTGGAACGTCATCTAACCTATAGGAATTGCCATGATACGATTCCCTCGGAATCGGCTCTCGTAGGTGATCTAAGAGCGTCGTATTCTAAGCAAATAAGGATATGAATCTAAAAAGGCATGCTACTCGAAACACCAAGTTACCTTGTCGTATGAGGTATCGTCATGCAACAGCTTCCTTTTACCAACATCCGCATCAAGATCAGCAAGTAGGGACAGCAATTGTTCCCGCTCCGAATCAGACAGAAACAGACGAGAATTCTCCAGAGATATCGATTGAGCCTTGAAACGAACGCTAAAAAATAATCAATAGAGCGGAAGGAAAGTCAATCCTCACCAATTTCTTTAGCCTCCTTTCGAATCTTGTCAGAATTTCATCAATTTCATCAGATGACTCATCAGGAGCTCGAAGCTGTGACCAACGGTCGAATGTATTGTACAGAAGAGCTGAGGATATCCGCATGTCGTTACCGAAGAAAACCATGTGATCCCAGAGATTGGCTTAAAAGCGCTTCTTTCATAAGTAAGCCAATAAGAGCTAGTAACTATATCGAAGCCACTCACCGAAAGAGAAAAAGGTGGACAACATTTCCGGCGTATTTACTCTCCGTTTATCTTTCAGAAACGTTTCCAAGCTTTTCTGCAGAATCGTCAAAGCGAATGAGATAAACTAAACGTATTTCAAGTCACTGTAACCTGAGAAAGAGATAGTGCGAGGTGAAAGAAGTAAATTCTTGAGAATAAAGAGCTCCTTCTAACCTGATCATCCTCTTCGGCCAGTTTGCCTCTTTTGCTGACTACACGTACCCTCTGATATATAACAGAAATCACAGATGGCAGATCCTCCGAAATAGCATATCTGAAGACTAAAGTCAAGGCCATTCCGAAACCAAAGAGTTACCAAACCTACCTAATAAGTTGAGCGTGTTGTGCTCGATTTCCCTGTAGAATACTGAACCGCTTGTTTTCTGCTTTCAGTTCTTTCTCGAGATCGGCGATAAGAGCAGTTCTCCAAGCGTCACCACCCTTGCCCATTTTCCAGCCACTCCTCTTTGGTTTCTCCACCAGCAGCGTCCTGTCTGAACAAACCGAGTCATCAGTCATATAAAGCCCTTGTTGAAGGAGTAAATGAGTAAAGTAATTCATAAGACTATTACTTTCAATAAAACTGCCAAATTGCATCATAATTACAAAAGAATCAAGGGTAGAAGAAATGTTCAAATAAGGAATGTGAAAACTTACCATTCACAACTACTTTCAGTGCTCTCGTCGATAAAGGGGCACATATAACTCGGCATTCACATAATTTTTGAGAATTCAACAATAATAAACGCAATATTCGACGTCGTGCAAGCATCTGAAGCAAGATTCACCCAAAGGATAACTACATAAAATGATTCGAAGTTCAAAACCACAACAAGCAGCAATAACAAACATGAAGTACAAACGAAAACCATTAAAAACCTAAAAAAACTTCTTTCATCACCGATCGACCGTAGATTATTTTACGGCAAATAGCGTTAGAGACGGAACTGCGTACTTTCTCGAGCTCCACCGTAACCCGAAAACGTGCTAGTACCTATAGTGCTGATTGTTTATTCTTAGCCTTTGTAAACACATCTCGGGGCAAATCCCTTTCCAATTCGATCTTCACGGATTTCTAAATTTCTTAGATTTTTGTGGGGGAGATCATGGAGAGGTACTGAACTCCTTAGTGCCTATCCAATATATTTTGTTTTGCTCAGTACCTTCCCAGAATCCTTACAAATCCGTTTTTGGTTACATGGATAGCGAACTTGTAATTTGAGAGGATATATTTTGCTTTCTCATGTTTCCCTTCCCCTAATTCTCATTTGGCTTATTTTCTTCCAAGGGTTTCTTTCATTTTTGGTCATAGGGTAGGTGTAGGTCATTCTCTTGGATCCATGCTCATTGAACACCAATAATCAGTCCTCCAGATGATTTACTGTCTCATCTTGATCCTTTTTAGAGCGCATAAATAAAAAATAAACAAGTAATTAAACAATAACTAGGGAAGGAGGTCATCCATTTCCTTTAAAACACTCCATGCATTTGGCTTTCTTTCAAATATCCATCTCGCTTCACTAAGGGGCTTCGTGGTGGAAGAACCAACCCTAAATGAAAAAATCTTCTGCCCTGGTTAGTAATTTGGATTGGTTGGTCCCCCTTTTCTCTTGAGTTGCCCCCCGTGACGG